GGCCCGCTAGCCAGGGACTGCCAGGCCTATCACTTCAGCCCGGCTGCACAGTTCCGCGTCGTCGTGCTGGATGCCTACGACCTGAGCATCCTGGGCAGAGAGCCGGACAGCCCCCGATACCAGGAGTCCCTGCGGCTGCTGCGGGAGAAGAACTCCAATGACAACCTCAACAGCCCCGCAGGTACCCCCCCAGCTCAACCCTTCAACAGGGAGCACAGGCGGCTGAACCTCCACTTCCCAGAGCAATAAGGCAGCTCCTGGGGCTGACATCTGGTTGTCAGGGGCTGAGGCAGGTGCCCCATTTCTGCCCACCTCCTCCACATCCCTGCTGTTGGCTGAGAGCCAGTCAGTGGGTCTCTAGACAGGCACAGGAGATGCTCCGCCATCCCTGTCATGCTGCTCTGGTGCTTTTGGGATGGGTTTACATTGAGCTGTGTGCCCTGCGGTATCAGAACTAAAGGCAGCTGTTGGTGCAGCTGCTATTGCAGAGCATCAAGTGATGCCTGCCCTATCCCATGCTGGGGGGACCCAAGAGTGGAAAACCTGTGCCTGCAGCATGACCAAAACCCCCCAAAACCCTGACAAATAATTTTCTCGTTTCTCCAAGGAGGCTGGAATTTTGATCCAAGAGATGCAAGAAAAAACATTGTAAGAGTAAACCATCTATTGTAAGCAGACTTACATGAGGCAACCAAATAGAAGAGCCACCAGAGGCGTATGTACCTATACCTAACCTTCTTCTTCATTACAGGACTCAAAGAACCTCAGTTTGTAGAGTTTAACGGAGGATTTAGCCAAGGTCAGCTGGACTGGTTCAATGAAGTCCTCAAATTCTCTGATGAAACCCAAGAAAAAGTTATAGTTATGGGTAGGTGGATACGGGGGATGTATGGGGATATATGCAAAAAAAGTTATGTAGCCAGCATATGTTAGCTGAGGAAAACGTAGCGACTTTGTAGTGCCACTGAAGTACACACATAACCTGTGAAGTAGGAGACTAGCAAACATGTCTTATGCTCGGGTGAGCTTTCTGTATGCAGTTAGATGTCTGAACTTCCCAGTGGGAAGGCAGAGTATGATTACACTTAACGTGACTCTCGTGCTTCTTTCCCTCTCAACTGCAGGTCATCTGCCAATTCATCCAGATGCTTCAGACAGAGTTTGCCTAGCCTGGAATTATGAAGATGCCCTTGCAGTCATACACTCCCATCGGTGCGTGGTCTGCTTTCTTGCAGGACACTTGCATGATGGCGGCTATTGTTTAGACTCTCATAGAGTTCATCATCTGACTTTAGAGGGGGTTATTGAAACTCCACCGGAAAGCAATGCCTTTGGAATTATTTATGTCTATGAAGATAAAATGATACTAAAGGGAGGGGGCAGAATTTCAGACAGAGTGATGCATTTCTAAAAACAGTAGGCAAATACAAATTGCTCTTCTTCAGGAAGTACTCAGACAGAAGAGCAGGGGATACAGCTTATTACTTGCTTGTAGAAAGATGTGCATGGCTGATCCTTACAGCTTTAACTCAAACATTTTGCTCTCGGACACAGAATTTTAGAAATTATGTTTCTGTAAGAAAACACACCTACTTTCTTTGTGGAGGACAGAGAAGGCCAGTAACCACGTTTGAAATAAATATACTTGAATGCAGAATGTTGACTTGAAACACCCAATCCTTACTGGATTGTTACTCACTGTGAAAAAAATGCAAAGCATATTATGATTATTGTCAAAAAAAAACCCCACTTTTTTTACCTCAGTCAGAATTAAAACATGCAGAATTGTACCTACCCAGCTGCATTTCCATTTTTTATTTTTTTTAAACATCATTGCCAGACATGAGACATAACTGACTGAATTACCCCACCCTGTAGCCTAATGCAGTCTTCTTAACATTGCTTTAAATTACTAAAATAATCTTCAGAACAAGCTAAGCTCAAGGAAAATGGAGACCATCTGTGCTACATCACATAACGCTGCAGATGCCCTCGCCGGGATCCACGCGTGCAAAGCTGTATTGGCCGACAGCAGTACTAAGCGAAGGAGCCCTGACCTGGGAGGATGTAAAACACATTGCTGTGCTGCGCCTGGATGCGTTCTGGCTCTCTCCCGGCCAGCTCGTGTCTCCAGTGTAGTCACCTGTGCTTCCTGCTCCAGGAGTGGTAATGGTGGAACACGCTTACTGTTGCTGGGCTGCTGTCTGGGTTCTGCTTTCCAGGAAATGAAATTCTGTCTTGAGTACACATCTCGCAGAAAATAAAGATGCAGAAGCTTTCATTGAATTTTCTTTAGAAAAATAGTGTTTATTACTCTGTAAACCCAGTAATTTTCAGTTACATATAATAGCAATAATATTGCTTCAGATAGATTCTACATATGATTTTAGTGTAGGAATAGAAATACAGACTGCTCAATTTTTCAGTTAGTCTCAATGGACTATCCAGGCAGAAATCTGAAAGTTTTATGGCTGTAAACAGTCATTGATTGAAACAAAGTGTTTGCTCTACTTTTATGTTACAGAACAGTAGATTTCCCAAAGTAGGAGGTGGCTGGAGAGTGATCCAGGGATGCCAGATGTCTTGAATATACAATGAATAAGGGAAACTAATTAGCGTATAACAATTTTAAAACAGAGTATATAACTTGGCAACACTTGAGTCAGGCCCCACAAACTCAGGCTTTGCCTGTCTCATGCTCCAGTATGACAGAAAACAATTAGTAAAATAGTTGGAATGTAGAAACAGGATAAGAGAAGCAGTAAATTAGGGAATAGTCCTTGGGTATGAACTAGAAAAAAGACACAAAGTTTAAGGCATCCTGATAAAGGGGGCCCAATATGCCAACAAGCCTGGGACCATCTGGGCAGGATGGATAACAAGGTTGCTGAGCTTGCAAAACGGAGATCATGAAGAAGAGTTCGCCCAGCTGTGTCCACTGAAGAAGAGGAGAAAGAGGAAGATTTGAGGAGGATGACCCCTGACAACCACCTGAGAAAGAAACTGTGCAGGTGTATCAGGATATTAGCATATATTCATGAGTTCCCAGAATAATAATGAATATATATTAAACTGATCGGAAACCTAATGAATATGTAACTCTTTTGTAATATAAATCACGTACAATTTGTTTCTCATTGAGATGTACGTTCGTGGAAATATCCCGGTGCGACTCCCAGTGTTGCAGTAAAGGATACCTGCTTAATAGTCACATTGGCTATTGAGTGAATTTTTTTGATTCATCATTAGAACACATGTTTAGATCAGCTGTACTTTGGAAACTTACAAAGAGGCCAGCTGAGCAATAGTTTCCATAGAAAAAATCCTCACTCGGGTTTGACAGTGTTTCTCAATTTTAACAAATCTTAAACTGCACTGCTGGAAGCAGCCAGGCATGCTTGGGTCTTGCCAAACTGATACTAACCTTTCATTAAAAACCAAAAGCAAAGGCAAGTAAGGTCAGAATATTTATTCTATACTCTCTCCCACCTGATTATATCACCGTTTTACAGTGCGTTGGCCAGGATGCTCGCATCTCCTTGTTCATATAAATGTACAGCCACGAAACAAAGGGGAAGAGAGCAACCACGATTGCAACAGTCAAGCGAATTCCACCCAGTGGACTCCTATAAAGAAGGAAATGCAACAGAGCTACTTCAAATCAGACTGCGACGAAACATTCACACCTGGCTGCAGGTGGATTGAGACTCTATATTCGCTAAAGACAGTGGACAGCCTTTGGCCACTTGACTAGAGCTCCTGTGCATGTATCAGCAGAATCTTTTACTGGAGAGGCACCACGGGCCAGCAGAAAGGTTTTCTGCTGCTTCAGGATACATGAAACAGGTGGGGAGGGGGGGGGGGGAAAGTACTCTGCTTGCCAAGAGCATCTGTGACATGTTTTCCCATCACAAAGGTACTGTTTGGCAGACTGGGTTTTTTCATGCTCCCAGCTAACAGGAATTTAGCAAGACTGCTGTAGCACCCTCCTTTGAAGAGGCTGGAGGGGAAAAGCAGGCAGCCACTGCAGACCAGGCAGCCCCCCAGCGCCGTCTGCCAGTTCTGTCTGCGTCACCCGTCTGCTCGGGTGGATGCAGCAGACACCAGTATGGAGACCCTCAGCGGAAAGTTCTGTGAATTGGGAGCAATGGCAGAAATGGCTTTGCAGTTCATTAGCAGTCGTGGCCAACGTTCCCTAGCCTGTTCCACAGAAGGGCTGTGCTGTCCTTATGCAAAGGGAGAATGTCCCCTGCTAATTATGGCAGGGGGAGCGGAAAAACTGTTTTGTGTAACTTTACTTCCCCCTCCTCAGACTTTTATCTGTGCAAGATCCTATAGGCTGTAGCACCAGCTACTACCGCTTAGGTATCTTGAGAAGGTTCAGACAGTGACATGAAGCCGAAAAACAAACAGCCAAAATCAACAATGTATTTTCAAGCAGCTAGTCACTGAATGTGAACATATGAATGGATTAAAAAAACCAACCAAACAAAAACTTACTTTGCTGAACTGCGACAAAGACTCATCCATATTGTAATAATCACCAGACCAAACAACTCTCTAAAAAGCCAAACAAAAACCAGAAAATAATACAAGCAGATGTTTACTTTTAAAAATTAAAATTTTGTCTCCAGAACAGTAGTGTAAGCATGCACTGCCTCCTTTTGGAGAAGTTCAGTATATTTGACTAGGATTATAATTACAAAGATATTTACACGGAGTAACTTTGCCTCCCACCACAAATCTAGAAACACACCTGACCCAGCTATACTGCTGCAGAAATTCCCGCTTCTCCTTTTTGTTGCACTGCTGAACTTGCGTTCCACAGCGCGTTTCCCGCCTCAACACAGGGTGAAGCAGCGTCCCGGTGCTGCAGAGCGCGAACGGCCACAGCAGGGCCAGCGCCTCCCCCCGTACCGAGCGGGCACCTACTTCAGGCAACAACTGCGCCCAGGTAAGAAATCCTCCCGCTCAGTACCTGGCAGTTCAGGGGACTCGGCTGCCCGTGCCAGGTAATATGTTTAAAAACTCTTGAGGTGATGTTTAATTCCTACAGCTCCAGCAGAGGACACAAAGCCGTTTCAGTGTGCTCATGCCCCTGGTCTTTGAAAGCCAGAACTGCTCCCACTCAAATGTAACTGCCGCAATAGGGCAAGCAATCCCGCCTGTTCACGCTCCCTTAGCTCTTTTGTCCAACAAATCGCTGGTTTGGAGCACTACAGTCCCTGCTCCTTGGTTTGGTTCCCCTGCACCAACAGCACTCGCTGCAACAGCCCAGCAAATAAACTTTAGCAAGGGGACCACCACAAGGAGATGGCCTGGCATGCTGAATTCATGCAGGGGAAAATAAAAATCCGCTTACCTGCCTTCCTCTTCGTGCAAAATGTTTCCTTGAGCATAAGCAAACAAAGAGCAAGCCAATACAATGGTCCCAACAACGCAACCGGCAGAATGAAGGTCACAGAGGCTCCTCCAAACACCATTATCTGAGGAAAAAAAAATTGACTGCCAGAAACTGCAATGTAGCATGAGGTAGACATTATAAATCAAAAAGCAACTGAGTCACTAAAATAGATGCCTCCAGCAAACACACATATCTTAAGCAGGAAGATGGAATTAATACCAGCATCTTATAACCAGGGAAAGCTGCTAAAAAGCACAGCTGAAAATGAACACTAGTGGGCTCGGTGCTTGCTTTCCTAGGAACGCAACTTCTTGGCAACAGCATCTCAAGGAAAACTGTTTCTTATTCTCTCCAGCAAACAAAATAGGCTCCAGCATTCAATGTGCATGGGGAAAAAAAAAATCACAAGGCAGATTACAAAAGAAGTTAAGCAGAAGGAGCAGCCTTTCCAGAGCTCACAGCCATACCGGACACTCAGCATGACCCCAGAGGGCCACTGGTGCCCGGGGGAGCGAGCCCCAGATCCCAGCCAGCCATCAGGGGAACCGAGCGACCACCACGCTGCAGGGAACATCTTCCCTCACGCTCCCTGACAAGCCTCTGCCTATGCTTTACCTCTGATGATGAGCAACACTGATGACATCTCTGCCTGGGGACTGATGTTTTTAAACAGAGAAATACAGATGATGTGAAATACCTGAACAGCCCCACAGATTCTTGTGGTTTTCCATGCCCATTCCCAGGGGCTCCTGGGGGAGAGGTAAGCAAATGACATGGGCAGTTCTCGCTGATCTCAGCAATGTCACCAGCAAAACCGGTAAAGTTAAAAGCCGTCATTCTGGGCACTGACCCCACCAGGCAAGCATTAAAGATGGATGGGCTGCCAAAACTGGAGAGCTCAGCGTGACCCATCCTTGTAATCGATTCCCCATTTGGCTGAACTTACCGCAGCTCAGCAGAGGCAGAATCTGGGTCTTCCACAGATGTGAATGGCAAACATCCCTTGGTGAATTTACATAAATGTCCAGTTGTACAATAGTTGTGCTATATTAATCTTTCTTTTCCACAGATCTTGGCACAAGTAACAAAACCCTACTTACAAGTTTAACATGCAGATTCTCCTGACCAGCCAAATGCCATTATGTTGAAGCTACACCTATCACACAAATAAACCTCCCCTGAAATGTTCAAAACCACAGGCAACCAACCCTCACAGGTTTTGGTTTTATGAATGCTGCCACTTTAAATGCTTAAGGTAGCCAGAATGCCGCGC